AGAGCTTCAAAAGCAAGTCTCTGAAAGTCAAGCAGGATCCATGTATGAAGATCCATTATGTCATACAGACAATGGGTCACTTAGAAAGAGCACAGGTAAACTCATCCAGCTTCCTTTACTCTTTTCTTGAAATAACAAACAGATTTTAAAGATTCCAATTTCTAAAAAACAAAAATGATGTAAGACTTGGATAAGAGTTGGCCCAATAATTCTGGCATTGGCTTTCAAAATTTGTCCCTAACTTTGCAATAAAGCAGGAGAGTATTAAACTCCTTAATAAAAGTTAATAAGTTAGCAGGAGTTAATAATTTGACTACTATTCTTTTCTCCTAGATAAGGCCATTAATAAAACATCTCAAGCAGGGTGAGTTATTATTTAATAAGTTTTTTTAAAAACCTAAAGGGATTAGCAATTTTTCATTAACTTAAGGTGAATTTAAGGTGGCTTATTTTCAAAGGAATTTAGAAGATTGATGAGAGCTCTAACCCAAGCTTCTAGTTAAATCCTATTAACTCCACAGTTTAAAAAATTCTCTCAAGCTTAAATCAGCAATAAAGTCAACGCATTCAGTTCCTGATACCCAAGTACCTAAGTTTGGATATAAGAGAACATTTAAAGCATATTGGAAAACCTTAATTTATGAGAAGTTCTAGAAGGCTGAAATCTCATTAAGACAAAGAAGACAGGTAAATGAAATGCATTTAAATGCAGGAAATAAGAAGTATAGGAAATCTAAAAATGTTACCACCACAAAAATAACTCCTAACAAAAAGAGATGTTAAACTGTTGATTTTTTTAAATTAAATGAGTGAAATAAAAAACTTTTTGACTTAAGTGTACAGAAAAAAATGCCAGTTTTTAAAAAACATAGTATGTACAAACTAAATGTCAAATATGGTTATCCTTCAAATATTTTTATTGAAATCCTATTTTTAAGTGATTGCTATTTAGTCCCTCCAGCAAACTAGCAAGGAGATGACTTAGCAAGTTATTTAAACTATTCGGCTTCAGTTTCTTCATGTTTATTTTAGATGAGTTTAAGTAGAGTATCTCTACTCTTTGTTTTGGCTTTGAGAGCCTAGGATTGTCTTATTTAAAAAAAAAAAAAAAATTCTAAAGGGAGTTTTTCCACATGTTTTTTCTTTGTGTGTGGTTTTGTTTGTTTGTTTGTTTGTTTGTTTGTTTGTTTGTTTTGAGATGGAGTCTCATGCCATCAACAGGATAGAGTGCAGTGGTGTGGTCTTGGCTCACTGCAACCTCCACCTCCCGGGATCCAGATTCTCCTGCCTCAGCCTCCTGAGTAGCTGGGGTTACAGACGCATGCCACAACACCCAGCTCATTTTTTTGTATTTTTAGTAGAGACGGGGTTTCACCCTGTTGGCCAGGCTGGTCTTGAATTCCTGACCTCAAGTGATCTGCCTGCCTCAGCCTTCCAAAGTGCTGGGACTACAGGTATGAGCCACCATGCCTGGCCCCTACATGGCATAATTTTTAAAAATTCATTCTGTAGATGTCTTTTCCCTTAATATTGACATTTTAATATGTTCTGCATCCTTGTTTAACCAAAGTAACTGAAAATGTGGAAAAGAGAGGCAAAATTACAAAGGAATCTTTCCTATGCAAATGAGGGCAAGTCCTTCCTGACCTTGCTTTGAGTATGCCTTCTTGCCTTTCTGGAGCACATGCTGTGCTCTCTTAAGTCCCCTGGTATTTCCTATCTCCCTTTGCCTGGACTCTTGTCCAAGACATCAAAATCCTTCAAGCCTCCACATAAGCCTTATTTACCCTGGAAAGTCTTTCCTGTCTTACACAGTTAGACTGCTAAGCCTCCTTCACGTTTCCATAGTTCCTCGGAATACTTCCTTTCTGCACTTATCAAAGTGGCAGTCAGGGTCTACTATTTCTATGTCTTTCTACTTTAGATATTTCCAGCATGGGCTCCGGGAAACAGGAGAGGGACCAGGCCTCCACCCTGCTTTCATGATGCTTAGCTTCCCTTGCATTTAAGTGGTGTTAGTAATGATTTTTTTTTTTTTTTTGTAGAAGAACTAGGTGGATAATACATGTGTCTCTAAAGGCATGGGTGGGAGCCCCTACCTAAATGCCATGGTTTTTATCTGTTTCACAATCTAAACATGGCCAACTTCTTTAAAAATGTATGCATTGCTCTCCACAAGAAATAGCTACTAAAAATGTAGCTAGACCTAATTAGTTACTGCTTATGGAGAAATCCATCAAAATTTAACAGATTCATGGTAAAATATATAACTATATAATAACTTCATACATAAAATAAGTACATATTCAGTATGATAAACAGAATGCTTCGGAAAATATAAAAATAAAATTTTAAAATACCATCCAATGATGGGAAATAATCTTAAAGCTGTTAAAGAAAAAGTTTATTCAGAAATCTTACCTCAGGTGCAACATATACAGCAATTGTCTAATAGAGGCGGTCAAAGGGTTCAAATTGTGACAACAACAGAGGCCATTTATTGAGGAACTTCTATGCGCCAGGCACTGGGCTAGGTGCTTTACATATACTGTCCCATTTCATCCTTCCACTGTGGCAGACACTATTGTTACTCCAACTTAACAGTTAAAAACAACTAAAACCTAGACAGTATTACTCGCAAAGTCTCTGAGCTAGTTGTCGGCAGAGCTAGAACTCAACTCCAGGTCTCTCTGACCCCAGTCTATGCTGATAACCACCAGACCATATGTTCAAATCCACTTTCCAATAATATGTGTTACTAGAATAATTTATTTCACTATCCATTTTCTAAGGACGATAAGGAACCTCATCTGCTTTCATTTGTTGGAGATTTGTTTCTTCAGTGTTCCAAAAAAGACTCAAAGTATCCAATTTCTATGTAGCATCCAATGAGATACAAAATTTGGTAGACATTACATCCATTGAAAACAAGGACATCATTGTGGCTCTTTCAAAAAGTACAGCTACAGACTAAAGTAGCTCACTTCTTTTGGTTTGTAAATGACTAGACATGAAATGTTATAGTATCATTTCTGTATGTGTAATACCTTGAGACCTTTGGCCTTGTCATGTTATAAATATACAGTATTCTTTACAAGAAAAAAATGCTTAATTTAATTATATAACACTGTTCCTTTGGAGTGAGAGAAATGCTTGGGAAAGCAATGTAGCAGAATCACTGAACTGTCTTCAATGTACAACCTTTACTTGATTCTAATAAATCATCATACTGTGTCAGAATGTGTGAGTATGATTGTGAGTGTGTGTGTGTGTGTGTATGTATGTGTGTACTGGGGAGGGGTGCACACAGGCAGGCACAGGTAGGTTGAAAACATTTCTCAGATGATCTCCACATTATCCCCCATCTAATTGTCTTCCAGAATCACCATTTCAGAAAGTCAGGTGTTTACAAATTTTTTAAAAGTTGAAAGGAGGGAAGAATTCTTTTTACAAAACCAAGCTGACTATATAGGATAGCTGCTGACAAAGAATAGTCAACCCAAATGGTTATAATTACATGTTATACAATATATTAGTACCGTAGGTCACTACTCCAAAACTTTCTCATTTTGCTCCACCACTCCCCTCACTCCCACCACCAAACAAAATGTGTTTGCAGCACCATTTCATTCAATGACCTTCAGAGGAAAGCACTCAGGAAAATAGGGCACTGGCAATTAAAGTAACTGCTGAGCAAAGAAGGCAGCTACTATGTCTGAATGGGATTGTTCTCTTGTTTCAAAAGAGAGAGAGATTAAAAAAAAAGCAGCATTTTTTTTTTTTTTTTTTTTTTTTTTACAGTGAGCATCCTGCAAACAGCTCTATTACAAATAAATACGGTAATTGGTTTTGTCAGTAATGGGCCAGGTATGTCCACCAACTCTACAACATATTCGTTTGTGGAATGAATTTCTGAGTAGATATCAAAATATGCTGCCATCTTTATCACACTAGCCCAATCTTAAGAAATACCGATAACATTTTCCAAGAATTTCAGCATTTTAAATTGGCTTGTTTTTTGTTACTCTTCTCGCTGCTACCTTGAAGATAAGGCTCACTAAGATATACTTTTTAATGGATAGGCATCAGCTCTGGAAGACAAATATTTTACAATCTTAAAAGTTCAATTAGCGCAAATCTCATCATGATTGATCTTTATTGCTAGGGGACTTTGCGCCTTTTGTGACTTTTCACAGGCATATTGCAGTTATTCAATGCCCTACATAGAAGTCAGGGATTTCACAGAGGAGAAATGGCCCCGGGACACTTCAGACTAATTAGCCTACTTCTCAGAATCTGAGACCTAATGAAAATGATCAGGGTGGCATCCTTGAGTCCTGAGACAAACTGTGCTATTAAGAGGGTTCCTACCACTGTTCCTGGCTCCTTCCATGAAGCTCGGAAAACAGCTACTGTCTAAAATACACAAGTTATTTTCTAAACACTGACCTGCTTTGTCCTGAGAGTCATCAAACTCCACGTTGAAAGAATGACCATTGTTGAGGATCCTCAGAGAAGTTGCTTGATCATAGGAAACAGACAGGGGCTTCAGGGAAGGGTCATACTTGGCTGTATGAATGTCGATGTCAACAGGGGACTGGCGCTCTCCCTTGGCAATGGGGAAGTCCTTATGCCAGTGCTCAGGTCCTGGGGGAAAGAAGACGTGTGAATCCCCCATTGTAGGGAAAGGTACACCCAGACCCCTAGAGAACAATCATTCCGGAGCCTATCTGCTCAGTTCCAATTTTAGAAGCACCACTTAACAGTGGGGTAAATTTTGTCAAAACACGTAATCTGTGCCTCAGTTTCCACATTTGTAATATGGAATAATTAGAAATTTACCTCATAGGTGTCGCTGTAACAATTAGAATTGATATATATAAAGTTCTTAGATCACTGAGTGCTATATAAATATTAGCTATTTTAAAGTCGTTTTACTGAAATTCAGCAAGTGAAGTTGGGCAGACACTAATGTCAGGGCTTGTGGTTGGGATTTTGGGATATGCAAGCTCACTTAAGACATTCAAGGAGATCCGGATCCTTTCCTCACTGCCCAGGCCCGGGCCCACCTCTCCTTTAACCGTCAGGGTCCCCACTACCTAGGAAGCCCCACACCTTCCAAAGATGCGCTAGGTGCGCCAGAGGCATGCTTCTCTGCTCCGCTGGCTTGGAAGAACCAGGTCTGAGGCCAAGATAAAACCTGATTCCTGGTGTCCGACCCCCTAACATTAGAAGTCGAGAGATGAAGGGAACACTCGGAAATCAGCGCCATGGATTCAAACCAGCACTGGAAAATGCCCCAGGACAGTTCGTGCTGAGCGCCTTAGCCACAGGTGGTGCTGAAACTGCAGGGGTGTGTGGGGGTGGACTGGGGGGGAGGGGAAGAGGGAAGGGGAGTCTCTTAATTTCTCTGCGGTCAACAACTAGAATTTTCCGTTACAACCCTTCCCCGCCTCCTCCTAGGTCCGGTTAAAATGATCCCCCAGGTCGGGACCCGGGAGGGACTGTCCTCGGGTCCCGCGGCCAGGGCTGCGCCTCCCCTCCTTCGGGCCCTGTGCGCCTCGGGCGGACGCGGGGATTCCTCGACAGTGGCCTCGCAGCTGGGGCAAGGGGGGCATCCCCGGCGCCGGGGAGCCGCGAGGGGAGCGAACGCCCGGGGCGCACCTGAGCATCCAGCGCTCCCCGCGGCCGCAGTAAACAGCATGTGCGGGTGCTGTGGGCCCCGGGCCGGCATCCAGGCTCGGGGATCCGGGATCTGGGGGCCGCCGCGCCGGCCACCGCCGGCACTCACCGTTGTGCTTGCCGTACCCCCAGTGATGGGACATGATCGCGCCGGCGGTCGGGGCTGGCCAGGAATCGGCACCGGTCTAGCGGCGGCAGCTCGGGCGCCTGCACTGTATGTCCGCGGGTCGTGCCGGCACCGGCTTTTATAGGCTCCCGCCAACTTCGTGCTCGGGGGCGGCCCGGGGGAGGGGGCCCGGGTGGACCTAGGCGACAAGGGGAGGAGGTGACGGGCGGAGGTGATCTCCCCGCGCTCGGGGCGGGCCGGGCGGGCTAGGCTTCGGGGGCGGGGAAAACGCCCTCTCGGCGGGCGTTCAGCTGGGCTCCGGGGCTCCTCTCCCGCCGCCCGGCTCCCCTCGGCCCGCGTCCGGGCCCCGGTGTCCTGGGCTGGCAGCGAAGCTTGGATCTCTGGGCTCGCGTCGGCTGCGTTGGCTCCTGGGCTCCTCCGTCCGACCCGGGCCGCGGAGCGTCTACGCGCACCCCATCCCCCTCCCGGGCGCGGAGTCTGGCGGCGGCGGGGACTGCTCGGGACCCGGACCCCCGGCGCCTTTCATCCCCTGTCCCCATTGTGATCTGTCTCCTGGTCCTGGAGCCCTCCCGCCCCACCCGCGCCGGGGTCTCCAGCGCAAAAGGCTCCGTTTCTGGTTTCCCCGGCCTGGGGCTGGCAAGCTGGGTTAGGAGCTATGACCTTGGGGCAAATAGGGATAAGATCCTAGAGGCGCAGGGGAGCGCGCAGCACTGAGTGCTGAGAGCCACGCGCCCTCTGCTGCACGGCCGTGGAATAAAACGAGACAGCGGCGCCACAGTCCCCTGCCCGCAGCCCACGCTCGGGCCAGCCTGGAGGATTGCATTTCCTCGTAGGCTGGCAGAGCCTCAGACGAAGTGTTCATCTTCTCCTTCTACTTTCCTTCTCTTTAAAAAATTAACGTGGGTGTCCTAAGTTGAGTACATATTGATTTGAAATAACCAAAACTTTTAACAAATCACTTTTCTCGGAAGAATCTAGTATGAGAAAGATAATTTCTTCCAAAGATATGAGAAGTTCCCAGGCTGGCCAAGAAAACTTGGCATCTGGCATACCTAGGAATCATTCAAAATAGGTTAATAGGAAGGACATTTTGAGGCCAGCCAGCATTATGACTTTCGTGGGTCCTATGGCGTTTCGCCTTGGGGGTTCCCTTTTTCGTAAACACGCATTTATACCTACGCTGAGATAAAGATAAATACCTTAATATTATATATTTAAACATTTTCCTTGATCAAAACCTATTTTTTTCTTTTTTGTTCCTATTTTAAAAGGAAACATTTTCCTGAGCATCTAAAAGTATTGTGGACCTGAGGCACTGTGCTTACAGGGTCTAATGGGTAAGTGAGGCTGTTTTGAGATATAGACAGAATTCATTTCCTACAAGGGACTTTGCCACAGAAAAAAAATCCGGGGGATTGTGGGAAGGAGTTCGGTTCTGTGGTCTCTGCAATCTCTGAGGGCAATAGTATTAGAGTAACAGTTAGGGAAGCAGGACACAGTTTAATGTGATTGTGTCGGCCTTGACATCACATTACTTACATTTGAAAATATATAGATAAATAAAAGGTAAGTTATTAGTGTACAGTTTTGCAATATTTATCTCAAAATCACTCTTTACTATTTATTTCAGTCAATTTCACCCAAACAAATACGATTCATGTTTAGACTTACTTGTTCTTCTTCTAAGATTCTAGAAAATTGTGTGCTTCTGCTTATGTGGGTTTTGGGTTGATGTCACAGGGAATTCTTAGGCACGAAAGCAGCAATACATTTTTTAAATTTTTAGGACCATTGCAAAATGGAGTTTATTTGCGCCTCTGTAGGTGCATCCTATCTGTTGGGGCCCAGTGAGGTAACTTTGATTCTTTACATAACTTTCAAATTGTTAAATTTTCAAATTTTCAAATTAACTTAGTTGCTGTGAGACTCTTCACTTGGCCCTGGGGATATGGCGTTGATAGGTGCCAAGAACTGAGTACAAAGTTTATGAATGTAGAGTGGGTTCCCGGGATTCTGCAGAGGGAGCCAGGCTATTTGATCAGCAGAAATGCTTGTCTTTCATTTTCTGTGAAGCTGGATTATGACTTTCCTAATAGGGATGAAGTAAGAGCATGTTTGATTCTTAAATATGTGTAAAACTTCAAACACCACCAAATTGCAGTTCACCAAATGGATTATTGTTGTGGGAATTTTCCCTTATCTCTCACTTCTGGAAAGTGAATTAATTCACAGTGGGAGCAGGCCCTCCCCACAGAGCTGCTGTTAAGGAGAGTGTCACATGTTCACCACAGGGTGGAGAGTGGTTCGCCTTTGGTTACTCAGAAGCAATCTGAATTTTTTAGTAGCGTTTTTGGTAGTACAGTGGTTAGCTTAGCATTGTTTTATTTTCCTAGTCAATTTTTTTAAATGGACTTAACTTTATGCATTCATGTCAGTCAGTCCCAATCTAACTTTATTTTACTGAAGGCATTCTTAGCAGGCTGTCATGATTCACTGGCTGCAAAAGACTACTCTAATACTGGATTTGTTAAAATAAAAAAAAGTACTTACCTTATTATGTACCTATGTTTCCATCAGAGGGAAGGATTGGTTCATTTCAGAATAATCCTAAGTAAAGGAACTGACAGTAACTGGAGAAAAGTACTTTTCTTTGCCCCAGAAAAAAAAAAAAAAAATCAGTCAGTATATCAGGAAAATGTAATATAAAAAAATCTTAAAGTCTGTGTTCCAATTATTGGGATAAAAAAACTTCTAACATATTAATCTTAGTAAAAATGTAAAAGAAAAAGTATTTGCTTTTTCTCAAAAAATGTAAAGATATTGTTAAGATATTTTACAAAGTGAGATATACATTATTTATTAAATATTTAATTAAAAAGCTAATAAAAAGCCAGATATTCTCATACTTGTTACAATTATAGTGTTAAAGTAAATATCTGGGACTGGACTCAGTGGCTCATGCCTGTAATCCCAGCACTTTGGTAGGCCAAGGCAGGCGGATTGCTTGAGCTCAGGAGCTCAAGACCAGCCTGGGCAACATGGCAAAACCCCATCTTTACAAAAAATAAAAAGTTAGCCAGGCATGGTGGTGTGCCCCTGTAGTCCCAGCTGCTTAGGAGGCTGAGGTGGGCGGATTGTAGCCCAGAAAGTCGAGGCTGCAGTGAGCCATGGTCGTGCCACTGCACTCCAGACTGGGAAACAGAGTAAGACCCTGTCTCAAACAAAATTAAAATAAATAAATATCTATGGAGGCCAACAGCCACTTATTTCTTGGGGCTCCCATAGATCTTTGCATGCACATCCTTCTGTCCTAATATTAGCAATTCTGCATTGTAATCAGACACTCTATTGTAATCATTGGCTTATAATCCAATGACCCAATAAACTGTTGACTGCTCATTTGTAAAGCAGGAATAATGACACCCACCTCATTGTTGTAAGAATTCAGTCGGTAAGCATAGGTAAATCACCTGTCACGTGTAGGCACTCAGTAAATGATGGCTATTCAGTTCCTCCTAGACAGTGCTAAACAGTTAGAAAATAATGTAAGGAATGCAAAATTAAACACCTGGGCCAGGTTCAAGGGAAACATTTAAGAGGAATGAGTCTCCAGGAGCAAGAGGCGTTGTTTTTTTTTAACTGTTTTTTATTTTTCAGTTTTTATTTTTTTGTGGGAGGACAGAGGAGTGTTTGTGTCATGGAGATGTGCATTCTACCACACTTGTGTTTTTCTTCTTAAACTGTGCCCCCTGAAGTTGGGTACTGTGTCACATTATTTATCTCTGTATCTTAGGCACCTAGCACCCTTTACCTAGGCTGAGTCCCAGGATACATGTAGTGGCTACTCACGTAGTACTCCTTGAAATTATAAACTTTGAAAAATCCAAATGGAGATAACGGCAGTTTCACTTTGCAGAAGTTAGTAAATAATTTTGTTACAGATTACAGTTAGCAAATAACGTTGTGCTAAAATTAGGTTGGTTTTGAATCTGGATTAATTTACTAGCTTTGTGACTTTGGACAAATTGCTTGATTGTGCTAAGATTCAATTTCCTCGTCTGTAAAACTAGGGTAACAATAATACCTACGTCACAGAGTTGTGGTGAGGACTAAGATGATACAATGTGTGTGAGGGATTTAACCTAGTGCCAATAGTTAGAACTTGATCAATGTTAGTTGTCATTACTACCATTACATGTTTCTCAGTTCCTATTTTGTGCTTAATATTTTCTATGTGATAAGTGGGCTACACAAGATGACTCGTGTCTTCATTCATTCACTCAGCAAATCATTCCGAGTGCTATTATGTGTCAGGCATCAGCACAGAGACCATAGCCATAAACCAGATCAACATAACTCCTGCTCTCACAGAGTTGACATGGGGATGGATGGGGGTACTATACAATAAATGACTCAAAAAAAAAAGTAAATTTCCAATACTGAGAATTAGTATGAGGAAAGTAAAACAAGAATGAGGTAAAGAATAACAAGTGAGGAAATCCTACTTTAGATGCAGTGGTTATAGAAAACCTATTGAAGGAAGTGCATTTGAGGAACCACTAAAAAAAGATCTGGGGAAGGGCATTTCAGGCAGAGGAAACAGCAAGTATAAAGGCCCTGAGAAAGGAAGTTTCTAGAACAGAAAAGCTTGTGACTGGAGCATGGCGATTGAGGAAGAAAAGACAGGTAGTGACGTCAGAGAGAGTCAGGGGCTACAGCCTGCAGAGCCTTGCAGACAATGATAGCAAGAAAGGATTTTATACTGGTTGCACAGGGAAGCCACTGGGGAGTGGCTTATGCACAGGTGTATTATGTGCTGGGTGGGTGTAATACAAACTGCAACAATATCGCATTGTAGAATTAAAAGAAGTTTGGAGGTTAACTGGTCCAATTCTTTATTTTATAGATGAGGAAACTTGTAGAAGTCCCCAGATACAACATGCTGTTCCCTAGCTCCTTGCTTTTATTCATCTGACAACTTCCTTTACAGAAAGATCCAAACTCCTTCTTCTGACTATAAAGCCATTTAATCCTGTCTCTGGCTTCCCTCTTGGGCTCTGAGTCTCTCAGTATTCTTCTTCGGTAAGATGGGAGGCAGCATCACATGTGGTCAAGAGCCCAGGTTTTATAGTTTGGATTTGGCTTCTAGGACTTCTTCACTACATGATCTTATATCATTTGTTTCGCCTCCTCAAAACTCAGTTTCCATATGTGAAATGTAATGAGTACCCAGGGCTGCTGATCGTGTCAAATGGACTAGTGTGTGCGAATTGGTTGTGTAAATGAACATGATGCCTTGTATGTTGTTAGCTACTCCATTAGGATTATTGTTATTGTAGTCAAGAGTCATAGAGTTGTGAAATGGGAATCGACTTTGTAATAAGACAGACCTGAGTTCCTACTCTGACTCAAATACTTACTTGCTGCATCACCTTGAGCAAAGTAAGCAGTCCCTCTGAACTTCACGTGCTTTATTTGTGGATGGGGACTGGGCGGAGTGGGGCGAGGGGAATTCTACCTCCACAATGTGATGAGAATGAATGTCTGGAAGATGCTAGATACAATCCTGGCACATTTTCTTTGTTGAATAAATAGTATGATTGTCATTGCATGTTATATTTTCCATTGTCAAATAACAGATTGACCTTTCTAGTTCTCTAGCTTGGATGAAAATTCACACGTATTTAGTTAACATTATTTGAGTTCCTGATCTATAAAAACAGCTAACACTTATTGAAAACTGATTATGCACCAACACAGTTCTGAATACTTCACATAGTCCTGCTCTATAGCTGGTGACATTGAGGCATAGAGGTAAGTCAGATTACCCCAGGTAACTCAGCTAGGAAGTGATGAGGCCAGGTATGAAACCAGACAGTTTGAACTATTAGCCATCTGCTGTGTTGTCTCTCCAAGGGCCAGCAAAGTGCCTTCAAGGAGTTTATAAAGGCACCTGCCTTGTCATGATGGAATAGCAGTGCATTAAGATTATGTAAGCAGTACTCCTCTATAAAATAGAATGTTCTATCAAAATGCTGGCCATTTTTAGGGTTTCCTGCTAAATTCCTTTTAACTATTTAGGGTAGCAGGGGATAACAATAACTTTACATATAATAAACAGTTGAATTCAACTTCCCTTAGTAAATAACTTTTCAGACTTTTAAAAATGTAGTTTCTGAATGTGTCTTTGTTTTTTCATAATGACTAGTAACACTTAACTTTTCTATAAGTAATAAAATCTATTTAGTTTTGAAGAGTAGTGGATGAATTCCAAGCTCATTACCTAGTTTCACTTTCAACCAGAACTGGAAGAAGTATTAAGTGGGACAATTACACT